CGCTATTTTTGTAAAGATAAGGATAGCATCACGGCAGCAGTCTGTGAAGTGAAAGCATACTGCGAGCTTACAGGTTCAGCTGTCAATTGGCAAAAGTGCAGCGGCTTATGGCATGGAACATGGGCCACAAAACCCAACGTTTTTGAAAACATAAACTTCACGTCGACACCTCCAAAGTACTTAGGCGTTCCTCTACAACATTATAAGAGATCGAACATGTACTGGTCATCAGTAGTGCAGAAAACGCGCGAGGCAGCTGGCAAATGGAGAGGATGGGATATGTCCATTTTTACGCGAGCTACCGTCTGTAATATTTTTCTAATCGCTAAATTTTGGTATGTGCTTCAAGTGCTGGCGTGTGCTCGAGTGAATATTCAGAAATTACATCGTGTTTTTGCCGTTTTCATCTGGAGATCGGGATGGGAGAGTGCGTCGCGACAATTTGTTTTGTCGTGTCAGTAAGGGAGGGCTATCATTATCTCACGTGTTCGTTAGGCAGACTGTATCCCGTTTTATGTTTCTTAGAGAACAAACCAACCCTTTTCTTCGGACAGTAATTCAAATGACACTTGCAGATGAAATTCCTTTCTTTGTTGTTTCTTCATGTAGACCCGAGCAGGGGGAACTCAGCAGTTTTCTTTGAGAAGTGGTCGAAGCGTGTCGTTTTTTGTCTGTGCGTTTTTCTCTTCAATACTTGTCGATTGTGACACCTTATTGAAAGAGTTTTTCCTGAACCGTTGTATCGTTCCACGTTTCATGCAGGCCCAGAGCGTAACGTGTTGTCTAGAGTTAAAAAGATGACCATTGCGCCTTCTATTAAAACATTTTTTTTCCAGTTACACACCATTACACTCCCTGTCAAAACTTGGCTCGAGGGGAAAAAAATTTACGCACCGTGGGGCGTTGATTGTTTTTTGTGCAAAAAACCTGAAACTATCGAACATGTTTTTCTCGACTGCTGGGACGCTTTTCTTTTCTGGGACGTCCTCCAGCGAGCTATCAAAAAAGACTTACCTTTAACCCCTTACGGCATTCGGTTTCTTCCTGTAATGAAACAAGTTGAAATCCCTCTCGATCTAGTCATGCTCCTGGGCCTGCATGCTATATGGAGAAGTGGAATGGCAGTGAGGCATGCCGACGTTGATGCCCGACCCGTACGCATGTATTTTATAGAATCCATCTGCAGACTAAAATCTGTATACGCCACTTTAGTTTGTGCGCCTGATTGGGTGTCAATCCTAGACGTACTGGAGACCTTGAAAGAATTTTAAATTTTACGACCGCGCATAAGTGATCTTCATGAAGTGAATGTAACAGTGTGATCCTTTTGTATTGTACATGTCCAAACCGGCAATAAAAAAAAAAAAAAAAGAAAAAAAAAAGCTCGGTAGTTTAGTGGATTGGAGCGAGGACTTTTTTCGAGCTCGTAAAGGAGCGGGAGTGGAGAGTTCGAATACCGCTTGCCCACACAGCTTTTTTTTTTTTTTTCATCTTTTTTGACATATTATAAGTTTTTTTTTTTTTAATACCAACCTTGAATGTGCATTTCGAGCACTTATCACCTGTTTTTTACAGCTGCTGTTATGACTGAGGATTATCTGTAGTGGCAACAGAGTGAGCAACAGCCTTCTGCATCACGGCTCTGGATACTTTTTAGCTTAAAAATATTGCATGAATTAAAAATTTCTGTACAAATGCTAATCACATATATCCTACAAAACGAGCCCTTTGAATATTGGGTGATAGTTTTAATAAGTGCACAGCAGTAAAGTTTCAGCTTTTCCTTTATATTTTCTTCGCGGTCGTACCGTACACGGCGCAACGATCGGTACGCGGGCGTTCGATCGTGATCGTCTGCTATCTGTACCGTAAGAGAGCAACATGAGCGCCGCATCTACCTCCGTCCCTCCGCCTCCTCCTCGCAAGCGGTTTACAGCAGAAGACAACATCTTTCTACTTCGGGAGGTGCTAGGCGCTACTCCTTTTTCACTCCAGCCCTTTGGAATGACGCATCGTTGAAAAAGAACTTCTCGTGGCGAGGAACGAAGGAACGGATTGACCTCCTCGTAAATAAAAATAGAGATTTGAGACGTGCTGAAAGATACGTCATTCCAAAAATACACACACTGTATGGAAAGAAAAACAGAAATCATTACACTCCTTCCTTATTTTAGGAACCCCCAGAGTTCCTTATGAATATAGAATCCATTAGGGGTACTAAAAAGGAAACTAAGGACTTGGTGTCAAGCATCTTAGCTGTAGATATCGTAGCCTAACCGTTGGAGATATTTCGTACTTTTATTTCATGGATGCGTGAGTAGACTTGGCTATAAACACCTATATTTCATGCTCTAAAGTGTTCCTTTTTGTATTTATTTGTGCTGCCAATGTTGTGTTCCTTTCAATTTTTTTTTGTGCTGCGGAGTGTTTTTTTTTTTTTTCTTTTGTAACAACATGTATTCTAGTTGGTCGCCTGGCCCCACATACAAGCTGAATGCTGCTTTTGTGGGCTAAATCTTTATTTTGTATGACTTGATCTGAAAATAAAAATTGAATTATATTGAAAATTGAATTGAATTAACTTTGTACTAGAAAAATGACCGCATCAACTTGAGAAAGTGTGTATATTTTGGTTATTTTTATATTTTATTCGACACTTAATATTTCTAGTTTTATTTGTCCATAGCTTTCTTAATACTCGATCCTACATTGGGCCTCGAGGGAAAGAGACAGGATCGCTAGCAGGCGACTTCGAATGTTGATGATAAGCGCGCGCGAGCGTGTTCTTGTGCCAAATCGAGTTTGCTTTCGGCAACGTTTCAGCATATCAGGACGTGGTTGGTGTAAACATCATATTTGGTTGATGTAAAACACCAAAGCTTGCCCGCTGAGAGCGCATGATTTATTAGAAAACAAGCTACCATGCATGTACAGTCGAGGCATTATTTTATTCCCCAAGTATATAAATCTGGTAAACTGAAAGAAAAAAAACCCAAAATACGCGGGCACATCATTCGTGGTATCAGCACATCATTCCTGGTATCACAACTTTTTTGTTTACTCATAAGCTACGCCAAGTTGAACGTCCTATGCCTTGCCGCCAACAAGCGCCTTTATCGGTGCTCGGTGGCACCCGAAAGAAATGCGACTGACTCCGTGCCACGGCAAACAAAAAATAATGTTTATTCCCTCGTGCCCCTGCACAAGTCACGGGCACCACGGCACGCGCGTGCGTGCCTCGCTTATAGAAAGCGGGAAGTTCAGAAGAGGCTCACGCTACACTTAGTGCGCAGACAGTCGTACAAAATCACTTTTTCTACATTGTTTTCGCTGAATACAGCCAACTCCAAATCATGGTCAAAAAGATCGAGCGCCATTGTTGTCGGAAAGCTCGTGAGCTTCTTTAGCAGACGAACATTTTAGAACTTCACTGTGCTAGGGGCGACACGCCGTGGTGCGCCAGGTTTTGAATTACGAAAGCGCATTCGTTCCAGTAAAAAAACGAGACGAACTATAAGTAGGTATACAATATTTGAGGTTCTCTATATATTTAGGGTTCAATCTTTATTTACTTGAGTTTCTGTGATTTGTACAAACACACGCAAATTCGTCTTTTCTCGATGAGACGGATGCAGGTTTCCGTTGCCAGGGGGCGCGACCTGTACCGATCGTCTGCTGTCGTCTGCATATACGGTTCCCCCAAAGCCGTTTCAGGGCACACGATCGGTCCACACGCCCGATCCAAGGTATCGATCGTTTTTGTTTATCGATCGTATTTTGTTCCGGTTCCCTAAAACTCTCTATTAACTCCGGAGAGAGATCGAGAAACGTCCGTTCAAAACGCTAGGGGCGTATCAGAAGGGGTCGTGGCGGACAGCGCTTCACTGTGCGGCGTAGCGCAGACGCTGCCATTGGAGGCGTTGCCAATCTTACATAGGGATAATGTATGATAGAGGTTCAACTGGTGCTAATGTGCTGTTCTAAAGTGAAGCAGACGGAAACCAGTCGAAAACTGACTTACGGTAATGCATTTCTGCGAAAAAAAAGTCAAAAGAATTTGTTACTGAAAGGTGTTTTGACGCCCCAAGAACTCTTTCAGCTCGTGAAGAACCGTTTCGGCTCAAGCGCTATCGCCTCCTGGCGCACTTAAAAGGCAACTCGGCGATGAACTCTTTCCCATAAAGGAAGAGCTTAAAAGAACCCCCTATAGGTTTTTCACGAAGAAACCTTTTAGGCTGTGACCGAAAGAACTTTCTTAGGTGAAAATATGAACAAGAAGAATCCAGAAAAGTTTTTTGCGACCAGATTTGTGTTAATGTGAAGAAAATGTTAATGTAAAGCCAGAAAGACATATGCCCGATAAGAGGTGTCCGTCATAGGAAATAATAAAAATAAACGCCTTTCCTAGCACACCTACTTTATTCTTCATGGTTTGAATGGTGTTTACCGCCCGTCAAGATTCACGCCGGGGGACATTTTTATATAGTGACCGGACTGGCAAATTAGCAATGTATAGGCGCCACCGGAATGCCCACGAACCATGGGCACACTCTACATTCTTTCGATAGCTATTTTGCTTAGAATCGTAGCGCGTTTTTACACATTTGCTATGGAACAGTGGTTTGCACGCGTAAACATAGCAAAGTTCAACATCGCTCGCTGGTGAAGACAATTACTGTAAATAAATCAATTTATGTTTAGCAATGTTAATAAAGTTACATACTATTCGGTACGACTCGAATAACAAAAGTGCGTCATGTTATTTTCCGCCGAAGAGACAAAATGCACGCGCGTTTTCTCATATTAATGCACAGGAGCACCGCAAAAGTAGACTGGTTGCTGTCTGGTTCAATTTGCCTCCCGGAAGCCGCGTAGACACTAGCGCCAGTTGAACCTCTAGCGTACATTAGAATAACTCATGCAATCTGCTGCGAAGGCGGAGCGGCGTTCCTGCAAATGGTGTCTTATCGCATGCTTTTAACGAGTATCGTCTCTTTCAGGAGGGAACGTCTCAGAGCTTGGCGATATAGATGGAGTCGACATGTGGGAATCATTGTCTACATCCAACAAATCCCAACGTGGCAGGGTCGTGCTCAACATAGATTCAGTGTTAAACTACTCCGCCATTCGAGTTGGTGACTACAAACTGATTGAAGGACGATTCAACAAAAGCTTGTATGACCAGAGATTTGAGACTGTGGGAGGCAAGCGTCCGTTGGATGACCTCGATGCTTTGATGAATGAGTCCGTGGCTGCCTCTGCTCTCAGAGACTTGTATAAACCCGAACCCCTACAATTTTCCCCCTATTGGAGGGCCGAGGCCAAGATAAACTGTAGTAACGAAACGTCCAATGTCGACATACATCAAGATGCATTTTACTTATTTAACATCAAAGAAGATCCTTGTGAAACAAATAACTTGGTACGCGAGGCGACGGAGGTAAGTCATCTGAATTATACTCTCAATATAAGCCATTAAAAAGGAATCGAAATGTCTCCGTACATATAAGACACAAAGAGAAAGAGAGAGAGAGAGAAATATGTTCGCATCAGGAAAAATGCTTCTACGTAAAAAAAAATCGAACGAGGCATGCATTCTATTGCCGGTTTTTAAGTATAGACTGCCACGAAAGAGGTTTACACATTGATATGATAGAGAAAAAAAACCTCGGTTATCGCAAAACAAAACAAACAACAAAAAAAAAGATAAAAGAGTATATTTTAGCGCAGAGTTAAGACCCGGACCTTTCGCATTGTAATCTTCCGCTCTACCCCTGCGACAACAAAGATTTCTTTTTTTTTTTTTCTTTTTTTTTTTTTTTGCTTATTCATCTGCGACAGCAAAGCGGCCTGGATGAGCGTCGTTACAGTTGCCAAGTACTTCAGTTGTCGCGAAACATTTGTCGTCCCAGTGCCTGATGTGACGTAATCAATCACTATGTGTTACACGATCATGTCATAACAATAGGCTAAGTGCTAACGTTTATCATAGGCGTCACGGAATATACTAGATTTACGTGATCAAGTGCCTAAACACTTCGAGAGTAACCAATAACCAAACAATATTAAAAGCTTAACGACATAGATTTCAACAAATCTTTAACGCTCTCTCCTTACGTTCGGGCGGAGGTAAATAACTCACCTTGATAAATTACGAAAGAACTGACGAACGCAGAATGCGACGTGGGTTTTTGCCGGTGCTAGAAAAATTACCTTAAAAGCCGCTCAGATAAAACAGGTAAACGGAGCGGAATAGATAGAAAATAGGTCGACCCAAACATTCGACGGATTCTGCGTCTGTAGGCTTTCTGCGAAGTATCGAATTAAGTTAAACATGCTACGCTTTTATTTTTTTTTAGGTGTTGGAAAGGGGGGGGGGGGGGGTAGGGTGTAAATTGTGTAAAACGTGTGCGAAATACTGTACGAAACACAAAAATCGAAGCTTAGAAATGTTTTTCAAGTAATTTTCTTTTTAATAGCTACGTGAGGTATCTGAGGTAGTAGAAGTAGTAGTAAAAAATATTTATTGGCCCAAGCATGGGTTAATGACAGAACGGGAGACACCTAGGGTCGACCCGCGAGCCACCCCTCAGACGGCGGCCTGAACCCTCTGGGTTTTGGCGGCGTCTTCGGCCAGCTGGACCAGTTGGTTCTGCACCGAGGGGTCGGAGCAGAGGAGTAGGGCTTCCCAGCTTTCCTGGTTGTCGATCTTCTCCAGTAGGGGGTGGGACTTGCGGTCGATCCTGCTGCACTCCCACACCATGTGTCGGAGGTTGGCGTGGCCGCCGCAGAGCTTGCAGTTTGGCTCGTACTTGTCGGGGTACCATTTATTGAGCAGGGAGCGGCTCGGGAAGGAGCCCGTCTGGAGGCGGCGCCATGCCACCGACGTCTTCTTTTCCAGCGAGGGGTGCGCGGGTGGATAGCGTAACCTCTCGGCAGTGTAGTGATCGAGAATGTCCCTGAATGTGACCGGACTGTCACTCCCCCCCCCCCCAAAAACAAGGCCAGAGAAGGGTCCAGCGGTTCCCCGGCCCGGTGAGCGAGTTCTCGGGCCGCGCCGTGTGCCTTCTCGTTGCCGGGGAGCGACGAGTGCGCCGGTGTCCAGATGAGTTGTACTCTCATCGACGTCTTCTCGGGGTCACCCAGGACCTTGAGCGCAGCTGTAGAGATTCTTCTTTACAGCCACGCTCAAGGTCCATAGGTAGGAAAATCGCGAATATTCTAATAACCGGGTCATGTTTGCGATTCCCGTGGAATAAATAGGCTACATATTCCTGAAAATACCGCGAAACGATTTTTGACAGGTTTAGTTTTCTGTAAGATATTCCGAAGTTTCCTGCTTCGCAGGCCTGTTATGGAACACAAACGTCTGCCACATCAAATTTTATATCTCTCGTAACAACATTTGATAAAAGCTGAACAATGCTAGTTAACACAACAGGACTGGTTGTGCGGATAGAAGCGTTTGCTTATTTATGCATTACTTGTGAGTTTCCAACACGTGCACGCTTTGTCTTTTTTTTTTATGAATCGCTTAACGCTGTTGTATGCTTTTATTGGTTTATATAACTTGTGACCTTTCTAGGCAGCTGTCTGATAAGACGTTTACTGAAGTCATAAATATTCTCTCCAGATAGCTACTGCCAGGGAATTAATATCGTTTTGTTGATCATCACAAACTCAAGTGACAATTATTTTCTTTTTTTCAGGCTGGTAAGCTAAATGAGCTAAAGGAAATACTCGCTCGCTTTAAGGAAGAAGAGGCGAACCCTCTTAACAAACGAATGGATCCTGCAGCCTTCCCCGAATGCCACAACGGCGTATGGGATCACTGGGTTCCCACTGTAAAATAAAAAAAAGAACATCACAATGACAACCTTAAATACTTTAGTATGCGAGTTCTGAGTCTGACTACTCTTTGGTATTGTGTATATGACTGAGTGAGAGTCAAAGATGCACATATTACTTCATTTACCCGAGCTTGTTGAACATTGTTATTTTGCGACAGGTTATGGTATAAATAGGGGCAGGTGAATATTCGAAATTTCGAATACAAATCGAATATTATACATTTAATATTTGTATTGGATTCGTAAACTAAGTTTTTGGTATTTTTCGATTTTTCGTCGTAACACGAATATTCGAAATTAATTGAATAGTCGAGAACGTATTCGGAAGCGTAAGTTTTGTTTTCGGTTTCAGTTTCGGTAAGCAAGGCCCATTGACAGCAACATAGCTGCATGGCGGCTTCAACCTAAACTGGTGGCGCCGGTGTCGGCAGCGGTAATCTGCGAGTTTCCGTTCCCTTGTAACTCCTGACTTTTTAAACTGTGCTCACTTTCCCGTTTGTCCACCAGTGTTATGGCGGATGGAGGTGAGTGCGGTGAACCTTCTGCGAAGCGGAGGAACAAACGGGAAACGGCACCAAAACGAAGAAAGAGGAGTGCTATTTGGAAATACTTTGCGAGGGTGACGGCATCCATGGCGGAATGTACGGCATGCGAGTCAACGCTTAAAACGCCCACAGGTTCGACAACGCCCTTGTCAATCATCGCAAAGTACATCCTGCGTCGTTAAAAGAGTATCGTGGGATTACCACTGCTACGCCAGGGAAAGATCAAATGACGCTGACGGACTTCGTGCGCCGCACGGGGCCCCAGCCAGAAAAGAGGGTGCGAGCGCTGAATAACAAGGTGCCCGCCATGGTGGAGCTTGATTTACAGCCTTACAGCCTTGTGGAAGACTGCGGCTTCAAAGAACTTCTGACAGAAGCCGTTTCCAACTATCGCCTACCATCCCGCTCCACACTCTCGCGTCTGCATGCTTGTTAAACGGATGTATGACGACACCCGAAAGAAGGTGAAAGCAGAGCTCAACAGTGCCTTTGAAGGGGGCACTGCCGCTGTTGCCTTCACAAGTGACGTGTGGACATCGCGCGCTAACGAAAGTTACGTGAGCTTCACCTGCCATCTTCTCACTCCAAAATTCATGATGGAGCGGTCCAGTCACACTGCTGTGGACATTGCAACTATTCTGGACGAAATGTGTCGTAACTGGGAGATATCCGATGAATGTGCGAAGTTCATCGTAACGGATAACGGGTGCAACATCTGTCTTGCTTTAAGGAGACTTCCGTGGACTGAAAAAGCGTGCTTCGCGCACACGCTTCAGCTGGCGATTAATGACGCGAGACCCCGTTCGCCGGCCATTGATCGCCTGTGCCAGGGGGCTAAGCTCGCCTTCGGCGGAATCTCTCCGACGCGACGTAGCGGGTGAGGGGAGGAGCTTCTTTCGACTCCGCCCCGGGTGGTTTCCCACTCCTCTTACATTTCTGACCCCCCCGGCGGTGGCGAGTTCCCCAGCGTAGCTCCGATTTGTCCCTACGCTCCTGTCTTGTCTGTTTGTCTTAAATGTCCCTCTTTCCTTGTCGTGAATTCAATCCTCACCCCTGCCCGTTTGGATTTTGATGAGCATCGCACCGGCGTGCGGTTGTGTATCACTCACTACTGCGTGGTGCACGTTAAAGACCCCAGGCTAGCGGTTGTACTGCACTGGCTAAATTTCTCATCTACAGCTGGGAGACAAGTCGCCCATCGAGGCAGACCAAATTTTAGGCTGAAAAAACATACAAAGAACCCAATTTTTTTATTTAAATCGTAAATGACAAATAAGAATCGGTAACAGCACGGATCCTAATTATACAAATATTGCTTGGATATGGGCTAGGTGGTTACGCATTGTGATGGTTTGCTGCGCTGCGTAGGTGCAAGAAAACCGCAATTGATAAAGATTTAAACGGAAGCAGAGAATAGGCGAAAAACAACATACAGGAATGACGCAGACTGACAACTGTGTAATTTCTTTCTCATCTTTCTCCCCCCACGTCGCCACACAGCCACAATATGTTTGTTTTTGTTTGTTTTTTTCAGAAAAGGGTGCACCTGGAGTGAAAGCTCGCGCTGCAGAACCCAGGATCCTGGGTTCTGCAGGCCCGCGGGGGTTCTGCAGTCGTGTATCACTATTACGTGGTGCACATTAAAGACCCCAGGCTAGCGGTTGTACCGCACTGGCTAAATTGCTTATCTACAGGCAACAATGTCGCCATGTTCTGGCATGTTCTCCTGCTGTATAAACAACTAACGACCGATTTGTTCGTCAGAATACGCTGTGGAGGGAGAAAGATGAAAAAGAAATTACACAGTTGTTATTCTGCGCCATTCATGTAGATTGCTTTTCTTCTATCCTCTGTTTAGTTTAAATCTTATCAAGTGCGTTTTTCTTGCATCTACCTACGCAGCGCAGCAAGCCATCACAATAATTGTAAAAGCCTGTAGGTAATGATAAATTGCGTTCCTGGTTGCAGATTGCCATAAAAACATTTGTTTCTAGGATTCACTTCGTAGAATTTGTTTGTAGGTTTTACGACGGGGACGAGGGTTCATTCACGGCTTTATCGCTTCAAGCCCGGTTCGCCATGCAGTTCATCGCACAGCCACCTTACCACGTATTTCGAGAGGCGATAGTGTTGTTGAAAATCAACGTCGTCTATGTCAAACACAGTGGCACCGACGGCGAAACACGCACAAAAACGCTGCCATTTTCGACGCGCCTCCCTCATCTCGCGCCCAACCCGCCCAAACTCGCCTAGGTCGGAGCCAGCAAGCTTTTCCTATCCGCGGCGGCTTTTGCCACGTCACAATGACGTCACAGCATTTCGCCGCGAATTCCGAATATGCCACTCCGACCGCCTCAAACCCTCCGTTCTGACGTCACGACCTAGGTAGTGACGGCGCGTGTCGTCATGCACGGCGCCGACCAATCGCGGCGAGCGGCGAGTTCGGCGGAGAACTCGCCTTGATCTCTCCGAGCCGAGCTTAGCCCCCCCAAGAAAGGGAAGCATATTGTGGGACATTATAAGCACAGCTCATCACCTCAGAAAAGGTTTGAGGAGTGCCAAAAGAAGATGGGAAAAGACGGATTACGTCTGGTGCAAGACGTGGAGACGAGATGGAATAGCCAGTATCTAATGTTGTCTCGCCTTCTGGAACTCAAAGAAGCAGTCACTGTGGACCTTGTTACCACGGACTGTGACATCGATGGACTTGGTTCATTAGAGTGGAAAGATGCCTCTGAATATGTACATGCAAGCATTGAAGCCATTGTTTGATGCCACTGCTATTGCCTGTGCTGAGAAGTATTCGTCTTTGTCTTCCCAAGTTCCTATGATTTTTGGTATGCTCGACTGTCTAGGTAACTGCTGGGACATCAGAATTTCCCGCAGAACTGATAAGATGCGTCAGGGCGAGGTTCACTCTGTAGGAGGAGGACAAGGAAGCATGCCTTGCTATGTTCTTGGACGCATGCTTCAAGTCCACTATTTTTAAAGCCGAAAAGGAAAAATATGGCTAAAAGCTCTGGTGCTGCAAGAGCTAGCCTCATCTGATGCTACTGAAGAAACCCAGCCGGAAGCTGCAACGCAGTCACAAGAGCAAGGCTTAACGCCGTCAGCAGATGTTTGGCAAGCAATTGACCAGTTAGCCAAAAGTGCAATGGAAAGCAAAGTGGCTTCAGAATGGGAAGTTGTAGCGTATCCAGAGGAGGCACTGCTAAAAAGAGAGAGAGAGAGTGATCCGTGTGAGTGGTGGCGAGCTGTCGGGTGCTTAAGATATCCGAGTCTGGCGAAGCTTTGCATCAAATACCTGGCAATACCTGCCACTTCAGTGCCGAATGAGAGAGTTTTTTCTGTGGCTAAAGGTGTAATTTGCGTTCGAAGGGAGCGCCTCCTACCTGACCATGTGCAGCAGTTGATTTTTCTGCATGACAACTTGTAATCTTCCCTACAACTAGAATTTTCGTTTTTGCGTTTTTATACTCGTTAAGATTACAAGTTGTCGTGCAGAAACATCGACTGCAATTTTTCAGTTAAAAAAAAATTGCTGTTCCGACATGTCAAAATAAAAATGCTGCGAATAAATGCACCTACCCTAGACTATTCGATATTGGATTCGATATTCGAAGCTAACTATTCGAATTCGATTCGTATCCGAATATATTAATAATTCCACACCCCTAGATATAAATTAACCATTACAATGTTAAGCCAATCATTCCTTTGGCGTGCGCAGTCTTGCTTTTGAATGCGCACAAAAAAACTTGATATATGTTGTTCTTTGAATGTCATATACTTTGTTTTCATACATCCTGCAAATCGTTATCATAGTCACTACGAACAATTTAATCAATGGGGTTTGGGGATTTCGATTCTAAGGAAAAATACTCTGAAATATGTATATTTTTATTGATCAAAGTTGGGCTTAACCCCCCCAAAAAAAATATCAGTTACGCAGAACGGTAAGGAACAAATATAGAAAGGTCATACCTTTCCATATTTAAGCCCAGTTCTATTCGTTGTTTTATAGTCACCCTTTTAGGGTGATTGAATACTCTTCGCTTGAGCACTGTCATGAACACCACTATTTGTTAATTGGCTATAACTAAAGTAATCGCTCAGTGCTCATAAAAAAAAAGCGAAGTTCTATTATACTAAGTAAAATTACCATATCATAGGAAAACAAAACGGGTAGACTTTTACATGTTTACCGGCTGTGCTTAAAAACAATGTACAGTACCGTGTTTTCAACGCAGAAACGAACCACACATTGCCGACCGCCGAGAATTCACCCAAATGCAGCGCCGGGGGTCCGGACCAGATGGAAAAGTTTCAGAGCTTTTTCACTGTCTGAATTGAAAATTCTAAATGATTTTGAGAAGTTTTTAAATGGAAAATAGCTGCCGACGAATCCCACGAATACATTGAGCTGAATGGCGTCAGCTACCGCAAATGACCCACATT